CACGGCCATCAGAACTATAGCTTCATCGGCGACCAACTGAACTTCGCATACGATGGGCAGACGCTACTGACCAACAAGATTGTTCAGAACCAGGTTCGCTCCACCGCAGCGCTCGCCAAGTCTCCTGGCTGCCAAAGATACCATGATTGCTGACAGTATCACGCTCCTGCTAGACCGCCACGGCCGAGGGAGGCCCCAACTGGGTCGAGTTCCTAACAGACTGCGGCGTCAAGAAAGGACTGACCTCACCACTGAGCTGTGAGAAGCAACTCTGGGACTTTGCGTTTGCTGGAGCAGACGTCTCCGTTGAATAGTATGGGGCCCTTATATAAGGCTTCGCGCCGCTCATCTAACTCTTCCACAGCACGCCCCTACACCACAACTACACCGTCTCCCTCGTCAACCAAGTGACGCAGTACGAGCAATACGGCCACCCCGTGCTCGGGGACATCATCCACCCATCCCGCACCCTCATCGCCATCTGGATCGGCGTCAACGACATCAGCGACTCCGCCAAATACGCCGTACACTTCCCCACTTTCTACAACAGCATGATGGCCACACTCTTCGCCTCCGTCCAGACCCTCTACAACCTAGGCTACCGCTCCTATCTCTTTATGAACCTGCCCCCTCTAGACCGCACCCCCGCCAACCAAGCGCGGAGCAATCCCTCCCCTAACGCAACCCAGATAACCTGGTTCAACGACGCGTTGGCCGAGCACGCGCAGAGCTTCGAAAGAGCCCACGCCGACACCACCGTCCACGTCTTCGACGCCCATACAGCGCTCAGCGACATGATGGACTACCCGGCGCGGTATGGCATCGTCAACACGACGGGCTTCTGCGCGGGGTACAACCAGCCGGACATTGAGACGAATTACCAGGCGTATGGGTGTCCTACGCCGCTGGACACGTACTTTTGGTTCAACTCAGGTCATCTGACGAGCCATGTCCATGAGAAACTCGCGGAGATTCTAGAGGCCCAGTTGAAGGCGTGGTCGAGGTGATTTGTCGGCCTTTKGTGCCTGATTCGTAGAAGATTCTTAGACTTCGATGCCGTGATATGGGTACGAATTGTACTTTTGGAGAAGACTTGATTGTTTCAGAAGTCGTTGTATTGAAGCGAATATGAGTCGAAAGCCTTCTTCAGAGCCCAACATTACTGTGCTCACTTCCGGATGCATCGATGGATCACTGACACTGGCAATAAAAGTACGGGCTAAAACTGAACTACATGCAATGTTTGAAGCTTGCTAAATATGCCCTGAAAAATAGTGGCTCCTGCATATAACCGAATATTCATATTATCCGCAGGAGTGTATCGAATAAAGGCAAGGATGGTCAATTCCGGTTGGCAACACTCAGTAAAGTACAGATATTCGTATAGGTCTTATTGGACACGGCATTTTACTGTGGAGAACAAGGAGGATGATTCCCTGCAACTTAATCACTAAGAAACAATTCAATATTGATGCGAATGCAAACTAATTGCACTAAGACCATTGAACGAGCGAATGGCCCAAAGTTAACAACTTTTGAGATCAGAATTAAGATGCATGAATAGGATCTGCAAAATTAGACAATTCCAGCAGCGGCGAGCTTCTGCGGCCGATTTCAAAGCTCGACAACGAGCGTTTGTAAAAACAAAACCATAATTTGAAGAAAGAACAAGGTCTATCGTGTCATCGAAAAACGCCTTCCGTACCGAATTACGAAGAAAAACCCCGAGGGAACCATGGAAAAAGCAAAGTCTACCGGTGACGATGGGTTACAAGCTCAATGACGAGACTGGACATCAAGGTCAAGATCAGTCAGTTTACCAACGGCGAGCGTTGCCAAGCGGGGCAGTGTTGGAAGCGGTATAGCTACCACCACGACCACGACCACCACCACCGCCGCGGCCACCCCAGCGGCCGTAACCGCCGTGACCGTGGCCACCGCCACCGCTGTAGCGAACCATCTCAGCGAGACGGGGGTCAATCTGCTGCTTGGCCTCAGTGAGGATAGTAACCAAGTCACGAGCCTGCTTGGAGTCTGCATTGAAGGAATTCGTTAGTCATGACAACTACACATGCGGTCGTAAAGAGAAACTCACTTTCAGTGGTGAAGAAGGTAATGGCAGTTCCCTTCGCACCAGCACGACCAGTTCGACCAATACGGTGAATGTAGTCCTCCGAGTTGTTGGGATAGTCATAGTTCAGCACATGAGTGATGTCGCGAACATCTTTAAACAGATTTAGGTTAGCAAACAGAGCATTAGTCAAAATAGCAACGAGGCCTAGGCGCCCTTTTGAGTCATGTGAGACTTGGATGCATCACTCTCTCACGGACTCTGTGGTCGAAATCCGTTTGTGGGCAGAGTCCATCGCCTGGCACAAGATCGCGGTCCTAGAGTAACCTTGGAATGCAGCTTCAACAAGTCGAAGGGAGAGAAAGCCCATCTCTCGACCAACGAGGTTCAAGAATAGAGATGGAAAACTCAGAACAGAAAGTACGAATCAATCTGCTACACTGCACTGTAAGTCCAAGGTCCTCATGGTATGAGCACCATTTTCAAGAGACCCGACAAAGCCTGGACGAGTCATGTTATACCAACATGGTCTCTTTTAGAAGAGAGTCAAGCACCGTGCCATTGTCACACGACGTCAATGTGGGTGAGGGTGCTTAGGGAGGAGAATAGGGAGGAAAGGGGGGAAAGTTGCGATTCAATCATACCAATACCACGGGAAGCCACATCAGTGGCCACCATGATTGGGCTCTTGCCCGTCTTGAATTCGTTCAAGACCCAATCTCTTTCTTGTTGCTGCTTGTCGCCGTGGATAGCTGGGCTCGTTGTTAGCAAGAGCAGTGGGAAATGAGGAATGAACCAGGAAAGGCTTACAAAGTGCGGGCCATCCGTCCTGGCGGAGGAAGCGAGTAATCTCATCAGCAATGCGCTTAGTACCGGTGAAAATGAGACACTTGTTGCCACGGTTTTCCATGATTTTCTCGAGGTGCTTGATCATTTTGTCGCGCTTCTCGAAGTCGGACACGACCTCGACAATTTGAGTAATTCTGTGGTTAGCAGACAAGTCCATGGAACCAATGTTCACCTGGATGTAGTCGTTCAGGAAGTCGGTAGCGAGCTGACGGACTTCCTTGGGCCAAGTGGCGGACCACATGCAGGTCTGTCTGTCAGGACGAATCTGAGAAATGATCTTGCGAATTTGAGGTTCGAAACCCATGTCCAGCATGCGGTCAGCTTCGTCAAGAACGAGGTAAGTGACACGGCGGAGGTTGGTCCGGCCAGCTTCCAGCATGTCGATCAGACGACCAGGGGTTGCAATGCAGACTTCGACACCGCGGCTCAGATCACGGATCTGAGGACCCTTGGGAACACCACCATAGACGCAAGTGTTGCGAATCCGGGAGGATTTTCCGAACTTGCTAATTTCGGTCTGGATCTGAACAGCAAGCTCACGAGTAGGAGCGAGGATGAGAACAATGGGACCATCGCCAGGAGCGAGGAGAGGCTGAGCGTTGATGTGAACAATGGCAGGGAGACAGTAGGTGAGAGTCTTTCCGGAACCAGTCTCGGCGATACCGACGACATCGCGACCAGAAAGCGCCATAGGCCAACCCTGGGACTGGATGGCAGTGGGACGCTCGAAGCCTTGAGCCTTGACCTCACTCAGGACATACTGGGGGAACCCGGCCTCGTCGAAAGTCTCGACGGGACGAGGCACGTTGCGTCCCTGCACAGTCATCTCCTGCACCTTGCGGAATTCCTCAACCTCGCGCTCAGAGCGAGCGGCAACATCGGGATGCTCCTTATAGAATGACTTTTCGAACTTGGGGAGGGTGTCCAAATCTAGGGATAGCAAGTCAGCACCAAAGCCAGAACGGGAGTCAAAGGTAATCAACTTACCCCAATCTTGCTTCTTCAAGCCGGCGCCTAGGTTCGACATGCGGTCACCACCAGCGGCTCCTCCACCGCGACCATAGCCACCGCCATAGCCACCGCCGGAGCCACCACCGTAGCCACCACCTCCAGAGTAGCCGTTGCCATTTTGATAACCGCCACCTTGACCACCTCTAGAGCTGTATGGATTTGTTAGTTATTGCACTGATGACAGATGTGTGAAATATCAAGATTTCCAGAGATAACTCAAGCCATGATCGACGCCAGACGAAGGTACGATGTGTTGCAGGCTATTAGGGCGCAGAACGCCAGCACAGCAACGTTGAGTTGGCCACAGGCGAGGGAGGGAGAATCACAGCACGTAGTACTCAACCCAGGCCAAGGCGATATATTTCAACAACACATCACTTGCGATATCTCGGGAATCTGATAGATTCCGTCTCAAAAATGATGAAAACTTACCGATAAGAATCGCCGCGCGACTCGCGCTGGTAACCGCCACCGTAAGAAGACATGGTGTAGTTTTGTGTTATTTTGATGAGAAACAGAAAACGACGGCGATGAAGGTAGAAAGGGGAACAAAAAGTCAGAAGAAGTAGACTGGAAAGTACCTGAAGCAGGTAACAAGACTACTGAGAGAGAGATGAAGACGGAACAGTCTTCGATTCAGATGAAAAGAGAGAGGTAAGAGGATAAAAAAAGAGAGAGATGGGCGAGGAGGAAAGAAAAAAGATCTCAGCGGCAAGAAAAAGTGGAAATGAGCGAGACAAAAGGACAAGGAAGCGGCGAATAAGGGACTTTCCTGTTGTGGTTAGCGTGGGCTAGACTTTTCCTTTACCGCCTTTTTTGCCACACAATCACGTGAGAGATACGCCTCCGTGTTACCTTGGGTCACCATCACAAAGATCTTGGCTAATGCTACCATTTCCGCCTGCTTTAGCAAAGCTACTTCGCAAACCCCGGTAACGAGGAGATATTTGGAGTGCCAGTTTTCCGTTTATGATTGGAGGAGCTCAATAATTTCTAGTGACCGGATATTGTCGCACAGTCCGATGCAGTCCAACTTATTGTGTCCTTGATGCTGGTATCTGCCCCTTGGCTAATCAGATAGTACTGCATCTATCTTGCCTAGATCTGCTGCTTTGTGTAGAGCGGTGCCAAGGCCCATGAAGTAATATAGTCTCCATGAGAAATAATGAGTCTCGTACATCTTCGAGTTCAATGCCGCACCCCTTTCAAGAAGCATGGCTAGCACATCAACGACATCCTCCTGTTCGTCAATAGCATGATGGGGTAGTTGTCCCTTGCGGCCATCTCCTCCGCGATCTAGCAGAAGCTTGATGGTACGAAGCGGAGCACGGTCAACGGCATAAGACAATGGCCTGAAATCAATCGAACATTGTCGGTTTGGGTCTGCTGCATGGTGTAGAAGCCAGATGGTCATCTCATCGTCTTCAATAGCATATCTGGGACAATGGTGAATGAGCGACTAAGATTGCGAGGTACAGCAACTCACTCAAGCGCTGGAGGCTTCATCGCTTATAGGTTCGTTGATGTCCCATTTATTTTGGAGGAAGATGTTGAGCGTGTTCTTTGATTTATGCTTTAATGCCTCTTAAAGCATGATCTTGGTGCATTGGCAACCTGCAACGTAATAGCTCGGAGACGATTTCTGTGTAGTCTTGTTTCAAGGCTTCTCGCATCATTGAGTCAAGATCGCATATGTTGGATTTATCGTAGCTAGAGTCCCATGAGTCTAAGTTATTCTAAATCTTTGGAAGTCCTTGGTGATGCAGGTAGCCTTCATTCTTCGATTATCTCCATTGGTGTATGACGCGGGATATGAGGCAGGCAGGAGACATGCTGTTCGAGTGATGGGAAGATAGACACACCGGGTAGAAGAGAATTTGAGCTGTAAGAAGAGGGTTCTAGTTGATCGTTGTCTGCGCCTGGAGGTTTCTAGAGGCTGCTGGAGTTGGGACCCGTCATATTATCTGATCATCCAGGCAAAGGATGATCCCACTAACCCAAGGTCATGCAGGGATACCAGCCATTGGCACCAGAGACCTACCTGCTCAGTCATGGTGATCACATCAATGAACGGGAGAACGAGACGGGTAAACATTGCTGAAACGAGATGCCCAGGCAGTTCTCATGGATGTCGTATTGTTTATTCTTCTAGGAATTATAGCTCCTGTGATTATTCTCTGAAGTGACATTAAACATTTAACCTTGCCCTTGTATATTCTATAGTCTAATAGTCAACTCTATATAGGATTTGCTACGTGCTCAATGAAGTCATATGCGCTCGTGGGTGGTCACCCAATCCCATATCCCAGAAGCTGATTTCCAATTCCGTCGCGCGGATGAAGATCTTGATCAGTTCCTCCATACGACTGGCGGAGGCCTGTCGCATGTGTGTCTCCAGTAGTTCTATAACACTGTTGTCAGCCACATATGCCTAGGTACATCGCGAAGAAAAGAATTGTATCCTTACCAGATCCCAATCGGACAGCCTCCGTGTAGTCTTCGGCAACATAATTCTCAATCCACTGCCAGTAGCGATTGCCCTCTCGAAGAGTCTCTTTCTCAGTGTACAGTCGCTTGGCAATGGCACCGTAACCGATGAGACAGGGCGCAAGAGCCATCTGCAGTGCGAGCCAGTCCTCCGATTGTCCCACGTCGAGAATGTACCGGCTGTACGCCGTACAGGCTAGATTGAGGGTCAGCAGAAATCAGGCAGGAAGCATCTGAAAGCTTGAATACTTACCAAGGCTTTCAGGGTAACTCTCCATTTCTGCCTTGGACAAGCCAAAGGACGCACAGTAGTCCAAGTGCAACGCCGTCTCCCGCTCAATATGTAATACAATCTTGGCAGACTTTTTTTTTGTCACATCAGCGTCGATCCTTTCAATGACAACAGTTTCTTGGTGTTAACTAACCGCGGCAATAGACGCCATGGATTTTGCTTTATAAGCAGCCAGCGAGTTGCTACGGGCGAAGTGGACCTAAAGGAACCAGTAAGTCAGCAATCCTCGGATGGCTGGCAAAAGTATCAGGAGGTTCTCACCAAGTACAGATAGTCTTGCACCAGGTATTGCTTAAATCGCTCCACAGGGAGCTTGCCGCTGCCCAGGCCTTGAACAAACTCATGCTCGGTAAACTTCTTCCAGATCGGACGGACATCAGGTCGGGTGAGAGCATACTCCAGGAAACGATCGCTGAGGTGCGTTAGTCACATAGGCCAGGGAACTAGAATAGCAGGACCTACGGTGCAAAAGGCAAGAAATACACGGAGTGAAAGTGGTTGATTGGACCACTTCCCTTGCCCATGTTGACACTCGTCTTGATTCCCGCTTCGACAAATCGGACAGCACCGTGCACTGCTCGTTTCACATCCTTCCCAAGGGCCAGATTGGCTGCAATGGCCGACGCCAGAGAGCAGCCCGTGCCATGAGTGTTCTTGGACACGAGGAATTCAGTCTCGAAGAGAGTGGCGTTCTCTCCGTCATACAGAATATCGATCACTGTTGACGCATCTTCCGGATTCTGCGCCGCCTCGTGGGTTGCTGTAAGAGGTAGATGACCGCCTTTCAAAAGGACAGCCTTGGGACCCAAAGCACGAACTTGCTTTGCGAGCCGAGTGAGCTCGGAGAGGTCCTTCGGTTCTTGTACGTCCAGTCCGGCATCTTTTAGTAAGAGCATCGCCTCAGGGATGTTCGGAGTGAGGATGGTCGTCAGGGGTAGTAGCTTTGTTCGCAGACTTTGAACAGCTGCCTCGGGTAACAATTGAGACCCGCTCGTAGAGACCATAACCTGTTTATGCATTCAATCTTAGATATTTCACTTCGAACAATTCAACTTAATAGAATTACCGGATCCAAAACCACGGAGGGGATTTGATGCGAAGTCAAAGCCTCAGCGACGACATCAATTGTCTCCTCAGAGGAGAGCATTCCTGCGTCTCAATTAGCTGCAATTGCCGGACAGTCGGGTAAAATTCGGAAAGGCAGGCGACAGTAACAAAGGAATCAATCTTGATGCATAATACTCATACCTAATTTGACAACATCTGCTCCCACATCCTCCAACCCAGCATTAATCTGCTTCTTCACAAACTGTGCAGGGACGATAAAAATGTCTTGCACCCCCAAGGTGTTCTGGGCGGTCAAACCTGTCGTTGCTGTCAGAGCATAAACACCATGAGCAGCGAGAACCCTCTGATCAGCTTCTAATCCGCTGATTCATTTCATAGCGTTAGTCGTATATTTACATCCTTTCTTAGGAAACGATGACATACGCGCCGCCTGAGCTGTCCGAGCCGGCGATGATTAGAACCCGCTTGACGGACATGATAGGGGTGGCAATATCTCCGAGCTGATCGATTCAGGGCGGCTGATGAAGATAATTGATTCAACGGGTTTGTTTGAGAATGATTGGGCACGTTGTAGAATGCACGGCACTAAGATGAGAGAAGTGCCGAGTGCCAACAGCAAGTCCACCGCGCATCAGTGGGGAAATTTCCTTTGCGGGCCTTATTCACGATAAGAGGCCGATAAGATAGAGCACCCTAGAACAGAAGTATACGTACCTAGCTTTGTAGATGAACTGTAGCGAGGCAACTTGATGACCGTACAAACAGAACCAGTCTCAAGTGAGAAACTCGCCACGTACTATGAACTCATTGACTTCAATTCTTTTGCATATTACAGAATGCCTTTTATGCATATGCTAAGCAAAGGAATGCTGTCAGTCATCATACAAACAGTGAAATCATTACGCTATCCATAATGACACAAACAAGAGCCCAAACCATCCAAATATCCTTGTATATACAAAATCCAATAATCCCGGTTAGGGATCGCACGACAGCAAATCGTTCATGGAAGCATGAACCGGAAAAGGGCATCCATTTCAACCCATTGTCGGCCGCACTTCTTCAGATAGCCATCCACCACACCCTTGATGGTGCCGAAACGAGTGCGATTGAATTCGACCAGCCCTGCGATGCTGTCTTTCCTTTCGCCGCTGGCCTCCTTCTGGGCATTCGCTTTAGCCTTGTCCACATCCCAAAGACCTGCAAAGTAAAGCAATTGGTTGTACATCTGCTTCTCCGAGTACTCATACGTCATACGTCCAAGGCAGCCCTCAGCGCGGCCACGAGGCCCCAGGCACCGGTGCCCATAAACGCTCATTTGGCGAGTTCGGTTGCCGCATGCAGAGTCATCACAAACCAGCCAGCCTTCGTAGTACTTTGACGTTTGAGCACGAATCTGGCTCTCCAATTGCGCAATTATCGTCAGCACGGTAAAAGGTTTTTGACATGCTTGGTTAGGGCAGACAATGCCGTTGGCAGTACACATGTGAGTTGATGCCACGAGTCCCTCAAAGATAGACTTCTCTTTGCAAGACCGACAAGTCAGCGTAAGCCGAGCAGCATTCTCGAAACGCACAGAGTTTGGAATCTGGGACTCTAACGGAAAGATATCCGCATTCTGCTGGTTGCTTCCACTGGACGTATTGATCTGATACTTGCGTACATCGAGACCCAGACACTCAGCTAGCCGAACTGCATCAGTCCCTGGAATAGGCGCACAAAGACGCTCAATGGGGGGGAAAATCTGCTTGAGGAGGTAAAATTCGATATCGGGCTTGAGATTGTTATCGGACTTCATGACATCATGAAGGGTATATGACCGCTTCGCCGGTGGTAGCGATGAGGTCTCCGAGTCTCCGTTCGTCACGATGTATGAAATAACATCGTTGGGTCTAATTGTCTTGCCACGGGCGAGCTCACGCAGCGCAACTTGTGCGGGAGGCATCGTCTCCTTGTTGGGGTATTCTTCTGGCCGTTTCGACAGTTTCTATAGAGAGCATTAGCAACGGAAAGGACATCGTCAAGGGCTGGAAGTTTACCGTGTATATCACGTATTTCTGGACTGGAATTTGGTACCCGCGCATTTTGTCGGCCAGGTCTCGAAGGTAGTCGTGGACCCGATTGAGAACTAGCTCTTGGTCCTCACCGGAGAGAATTTCATTAAGAAGTTTCTGAGACACCTCCTTCGATAGGGCACAGTATTCACGACGTTTCATATCCAAACCTTTGACCTCGAGCTTATCCACAAACTTTCCGTCCACCTCAGTCATGTTGACAGCCGCATACTTCTTTTTAGCGTGCAGTAACAGGCGACGGAAGATGTTGTCGATATCTATTTCCAGGAGCCGGTATCGTTCGTTGACGGAGTTCTTGAACTCCTCGCCAACCTTGAGTGCATCGCTGATAGTGTCCATGTTGGTGTTGATCATAACAGAGTCGGTATCTCCATAGATGACGCGGAGCTGCTTTGATTCTGCCAGCTCCTTGGTGCTCCTCAGAATCTCACGACCCTTGAAAGTTGTGAGCATGGCCAGAGGCCGAGCATAGAAACGACTCTGCGTATAACCCAAACACCCATACATAGAGTTAGCGGTCAGCTTAAAGGCCAATTGTTTGGTGTCCCACAGCGCAAGCTGTTCAGGTGTTGCGCGCTTGTTTT